TGAAATATTCAATCAACATAAAATAAGAAAATAAAGAAAGAAAAATGAAAAGACAATAATATAAAAGAAAGAAAATTAAATAAAAGAATTTATTCACAAAACAAGAAGAAAAACAAAGTAATAAATAAAACAAAGTAATTACTCATTTTAATAATGTATGAAGGGATTAATATCCATTAAATAATGAATAAATGAGAGTTTTATTATCATTTAATTATCTATTTTTTATTTGTTTTTGATTAATTTCGTTCAATAATTTTATTTATTCATTGTTTATTATGTTTATCCTTCCTTACTATTTTCAATTTGCTTTTCTGATTTATTTCTTTTATTTAATTTATTAATTTTTTAAGTTTATTTTATATTAACATTATATTCATTATTTTATAAACATTTAATTTACACGACTGAAATTGATTTAATTAATAAATACCATCTTCAGTAATTATTATGAATTGCATTAATGTTATTAATAATGTCTGTTTCAATATTTTATAATAACATTATATTTACTAATAACACTTTCAAACAAACTTCTTTTAATAAAATTACAATTAGATAACTGTATTGAAACAATTCATTTTATATTTGATTACTTAATATATTATTATTTAAATAAATTAATATTTCTATTGTTGGTTCTGACCAAAATGTAAATAACCTTCAAAATTATTTATTTTCATTTTTTATAACTTCATTGATATAATCAGTTAATACATCTGAGTAATTTTTAAATAAAATGGTTATTACTCATTATGAAAGAGTTGATGAATAAGAAAATTGATAAAATTGAACATAACAAATGAGTATTATTGGTAATATCCATTCACAATGTAATTGTTAATAGCATTTCCCAATTATTAAAATGATAATTGGAATAACAAATTAATATCTTTAATATTTAAATTAAATTAATTCATTATTAAACAACACTTAAACATTAATAAATTTCTATATTAAATTTTCATAATTCAAATTTTATTTTTATTTTCTCATGTTGAGGGGTAATTGTGTGTTATGAAAAAACGGGTTGTCTGGAGGTGAATAAGAATAGTAGAATTAGTAAAAGAAACGATTTCTTTTGTTTAAAATAGTAATATCAAAATTTTTGGATTTTGTTATTTAAATTTAATTCATTTTCATTTTATTGGAGGTTTAATTTAGTTTATTAAGAAGAATAAATATTAAAAATATATAAGTTAAAATTATTACTATTATTCAAAGAAATATTTTTCAATATTTTTTAAAAAGAAATTACTATTAAAAATAAAACAAAAAAAGAATATTAAATTTTTTCTATTTTAGCTTCTTATCATCGTATCGTTTTTTTTTCGAATAAAAAATATGAAAAAGAATAATAAAAATAGAACAAAAAAAAGTGAGTGAGAATATTGAAATTGTCCTCTTGTTTTTAATTTTACTTTTTAATTGTGGTTTTATTGATTATTTAGATGCTAGTTTAATATCACTTGGTTTTGGCTATTGGGTTAGTAGATTTATTATATTGATTCTCATAATAATAAATGCATAAATCTTGTTACTTCAAAACAATTATAATAATTAATTCTACTTATAAAACAAATTAAAAATACTTTTAAATGTTTTGAATTAACAAATTTATAATAAAGTTTAACTTTTTACTTAATAAAATAAATAAAGTTAATTAAAAAGTAAAAAAAGAGTATTTTCAAAGATTATTTTAGTATGTCGTTTAGAATTCTATTTGTTATTTTCCTAAAAAATTACTTCCTTTTTATATGGATTACTTGTGAGATTGGATTGTAAGTGTCTTTTCACAATGATTGAAGAAATAACATAGATTTACATGACAACTACAATCATGAAAGTATAAGTAATAAAAATAGAGTTTGATAGTATAAATATAAACAAAAATTTCATAATAAACTACAAATATTATTAGCACTAATATTAGCAGAAAAATAAAGCCTATTTATGAACTTATCCTAAAAAAAGAAAAAATTTAACATAAAATATTACCCCTTTACTAAACAAATACAACCCCTTATCACTCTATCTTGTCTAAATATAAACGAACTTAAAATTATTTAAATTAACTTCTTTAATGAATGAATCTATTACCTCAAAGCCATTAATTATAACTGATGAAAATTCATTGTTTTCTCTATTAGAAGAACAACAAGAAGATTTTGAAATTGTTAAACAAAGAATTTGTGAAACACCTAAATATTTTAAAGAAGCAGTAGAAACTATTAATCAAATGAATTGTGTTATTGATGATTATCTTCAATCAATTGATTCATTTCATTTTACTTATAATGAAGATAGTGTTGAAGATAATGATTACAGTAAAATATCTCCATTTTATGCTTCTTTTTAATGTGTAAGTATAAAGTATAGTTAAAAGCTTTAAAATTCTTTTTAAAATCCTACAATGTGTATTTAATTTATTAGAGTTTGTTTATATAAATTTTCTATGGTATTTCTTTTGTTCATAGTCAAAAACAGATGTTTTAAAATTTTCATAAGTAAAATTACCATATATAAGATATCTTTTCATTTCAAATTTGATAGTACGTTTATTTTTAAGTAAAGAAAAAGGAGAAAAACCATTAGAAAAGCTTTCTTTTGATAAGCGATTATTCCAGATATCAAATACATAAAATAAATATTTATCCTTTTTATTTCATTATAAATTTTATTACATTACTTTTTATTTTATGAAAAGTCAGATAAACATAACTATAAGTTACTTTATTTAAGTGAAAAGAAATGATTTATATTATGTTATTGACATAATAAATAGTTATTATGTCTTTCTATTAGTGTGTCTTTAATAATCAACATTAAATAAATAACTAATACTCTTATTAAAAGGAAATAATTTATCTCCAAATGTATTGTTATGAGGAAATATGATAAATAATCATTTATTTATTCTTTTAACATTTCACAAACAATTAAACTCATTAGTAGTTTATAATTATGCATACTTCAAGAGAGTACAAAGCAATAGATTTATAATGAAGTATAACAATTCTTAAATATTAATAAGGTTTTTATTAATGAAGAATAAACAATGATTATTCAAGACAAATATAATACAGTCATTGCAGTACGTTTTTCGCTAAGAACAT